GTGAGTCGTCGGCGGAGGAAGAAGAGAACCGATCGAAACAACACTGTTGTGGAGGGGGAGGAAAAATTGGCGGCAGCGGCAGCGGCAGCGGTGGCGACAGTGTTAGAGGTATTGATCGGTGAGAGGAATAGAAAAGAGAGATGACTTTAGGCATTCTCATTGAAGAGAAATAATATATGAAATAAAAGAAATCTAAAGAGATCAATCTTCTTTGTTTAAAATTGAAACATGCACTGTGATTGATAGGAGGTAATTACGGATTTGATTATATCTGAAAGAATTGTGTTGCGGAAGCTATTCAAATGGGAGTTTTTTTTTGACGCAATGATAGTAGCAGACATTGTGGAGTAATTATTATCTTGTTTATTGCTCAATTTAAAATGCTTACGGTTTTCCTTATTTTCATGATTAGAAGTAAAGTTTTGGGGTTACTTAAGGCTTCATTTTTTCTGAAATTTTAGAGTGCCACGTGTCTCATTTTGCTTGCTTCGGATTTGCACTGGGAAGAGCTGAGAAGATTTGGAGGAAAAATATTCATTCTGGAGCTGACATGTGTCTTTTGTGTTTGCTGCTTTAAGTAAGTATTACGGATATATATTCTGATTTAGTGCCATGTGTCTCATTTTGCTTGCTTCGGATTTGCACTGGGAAGAGCTGAGAAGATTTGGAGGAAAAATATTCATTCTGGAGCTGACATGTGTCTTTTGTGTTTGCTGCTTTAAGTAAGTATTACGGATATATATTCTGATTTAGTGGTTCAGATAATTATCTAAATACTGTGATTGAGTGGTCAAATAGCTTTATTGAAAAAAAAGTAAAAAAAAATTATAATATTTTAATCACTGTTATTTCACAATTCACTCGCTATTTTTCGAATCTTAATTTCGAAATAAAATAAAGAGTAAAATTGTGCAATGATCCTCGATTTCGCACCCGAGCTTGTCACTCCGGCCTTCCCTAAAGTGGTTTATCTCTCATTGTGATTTGTAGGCTATTGCAGTGAGCGTGGGTTCACCCATCTCTAGTGCAGTTCCCGACGTTATTTAAAAATAAAATAAAAATTGTGCAACGATATTGGTTCAGTTATTGTTTAAAAACATTGGTTTATAATTTTTTATCCACAAATAAATTATTGTAATCTTTAGATTGTTCAACCAATGATACTAGTCTTTTTTCATGTCACTATTAACAGTGTCTTATAAACTTTAGTCTCTTGGTAATTTATTCACTAGGAGTAGTTGTATTTTTGAAACGGACCCGTAGTGTTTGTTTGGACATCAACTCAGTTTACATTTTCACTCATTTTTTTTCTTAAACACAAAACTCAATGAAAAATAAAATATCATCCAAACAACTTTCTGATTTACATTTTAAATTCCAACTTAAAACACTTTGGCAGGATTCCGTTGTTGAGTGATTGTTTTTGAAAAAGTTCTTTTTTGCAGTGATTATAATTGACAGTATTTAATTGTTTAGTGATGACTCGTACTTGATATTTTAAAATGTAATTCAAAAAAATTTAAAACCAACATCCAAACAACTTTTTGCTCAAAATACCATGCAAACAATATTTATATTTCTCATTTAATTTTCAATTTGAAAATTTTTTTATTTTTAAGTGGCAAAATAAAATGTAGGTTTGTTTGACGTCCAAACAAATACATTTGGAATAATCCACATTTAATTTTTAACAAAAATAAACTTTGATTAATTTGTCAGCACTGCACGATCAGGGTCAGAGGGTCCAGTCAAACCTTGAGACTGGGAACAGCAAAGTCCATACCCGAGGCATCATTATTTTAGTACACTATTATTAATTTATTTTACTTACTGATAATAATAAAGTTTAATATTTTAGTTAAATGGATGGAAGGGAAAAGAAGAACAGAGAGGCCATGGGGGCATGTGTACAGTCAAACTCTATGACTGGTCAATCAGCTGAGCTGGCACTTTACTAAAGTTTCACACACACACCCACACTTCTCTCTGGCCCCCACCTTCCCACTCATGTTTGTTTTCTTTCGTTTTTTCTGTTTTTTTTTCCTCCTTATTATTGAACAATAATGATACATCCAACGAATAAATATAATGAAAATATATAATATTAAATGAAAAATAAATACATCACCCACTTAATAAATATGTATATCATATTTATTAATTAAAAGTAAAAATATAATTTTTGAAGAAAAAAAAATTTCAACGGGAAAGTAACAAAAAATTAAGGACCATGATTAATGCGAATCATCAGGTACAATATTTTGTCATTATTTTTATTCACTTTATATATCATTTTTCTTATTGAAAATACTGAGGGAATTTGGCTTCTTTTCTTCCTAAATAGTAATAATAATGATATTTTCTTTTGCCTGTCTATCGTCTATCGCTAAATAGTTTTTATTTTAGTATCCTATAATTTATTTTTGATATAGTTATGACGTTAAAAAAGTTTATATTTAATTCTACATTTTATTTTTTTTGAATTTTTTTTATTGATGTTATTTTTAGGTTCTGTTTTCTAAGTATGACATCTTCTTCTTTCCTCAAAAAAAAAAAAAAGAAAAGGTATGACATCTTCTTTTATTCAAACAAACAGATTACGTAGCTCAGCATATTCGCTTTTTCCAGATATGTTTCGTCAGCGATGGTTTTAAAATTTTTTTTAGATTTTGTGGATAATGTTCTTTATTCTTTTTTTTTTAAAAAAAAATAAAAAAGTGACAATCACTTAACTCAAACAACCATCTTATGAAAATTCAAACACCGCAATTCAAAAAAAAAAAAAATGTTTTAAGAACTAGTAATGACAGTTTTAATCGGCTCTAAAGGTGATTGAAACCTATTCTCTGATCACAATATTTCAAAAGTGAATCCTAATTATTTTTCTCAATTCATTATTCTTTTTTTACCGTATATGTTCCCATGCAACTCAAAAGCAATGTGTAATGCAAAATCTCTTTGGTATCTGCCTTAGCAAAGGAGATGGCAACTTGTGATACAATATGAAAGTTTTGTAAATTTTCTTCTTCTTTTTTTTTTTTGTAATGTTAAAGAATTCAAAAAATAACAACCAAGCTTCGTCGTCTAAACAAGCATTACAGAGAGCATATATTCCTCCTGCGTGGCTGCTCCAATGCTCTACCAATTCGGGCAATATTGCAAAATGGAAAACAATACCAACGACTTCTCTTTTCTTTTATTTTCTTTTCTTTTCTGTTCTTTTTTATGAAAACTATAAGAAAGAGATGAACGATTTTTTGTCAATTGAGATAGTAATAGAATGTGGTAAATGCTTATAACCTCAGCTTTTACCTTCCAACATATTCCAAGATTAGATTGATTCCTCGAGTACTCTTAAAAAAAAAAAAAAAACTGCTCAAATTGTTCACATTTTTCCAAATTCCGAATTGGAGGCCAAAGATTAAGTTCCATAAGAACCGACAATTACTTGATTTTCCAAGAAGACGGAGTTAAAACATGTTCCTATATTTTACGACCAATCACCAGAAAAATGTAGACACTCGATCGACAATTTCAAATAAGCCCTAGATTGTCACCTCCAATGAAGATGATTTTTTTTTTTTTTTAAATGGTGGTTTCCAGTGTTTTTGTTTGAACCCTTTTGTTCATATATGACTTTTGGTTAAAGTAACTTCAAAGTAAAAATAGAATGAAGGGCCAAAAGCATCCCCTAATAGTAAAAACTAGTACTCTCTTCGTCCCAAAATTATTGTCTAGTTTAAGATTTCACTTTTAGTACAATTTGAACTAGAAATGAAAACTCAAACTGGATAATAATTATGGGACGGAGGGAGTAATAAAAAAAGAGACGTGAATTGTGAAAAGCTATGAATGCAATTTGAGCCAGATTACTAATAGTCATCAAAAGTTGTATTCGTATAGATATTCGCTATTCATTACCACTTACCTATATGAAATTTTCATTTTTTGACGCATAGAAAAAAAAGATATATATATATATATATATATATATATAGAATAAGATTTATGTGTTCAGACTTGGAACTTTCGAAAATGAAATCAACAAATGTGCCTTTTCCTTAAAGAAATGAACAATATATTGTAAATGGTAGAAGCATATTGTTTTACGAGTGGAGGAATTCCATCTCCACTACCTTTTTTTTTTTTCCTCTCTTTTCACAACAACTAATTACACGAAAGTCATAATTGTTGGAGCAAATCACAAGTTACAAAAGTGGAATAAGCACATGAAAAAGGAAGGTCCAACTCCTCAAATAATATTTCTTTTTTGCCCTTTCCGTTGGAAATATGAGATGATCATATACCCAAAAAGTTAGTGGACCAAAAAATAAAATAAGAAATGACGAAATATAACAGGATCATCTCAAAATTATTTAACCAAAAATTAAAGGAAAAAAAAAAGAAAAGAGAGGACCAAATTAACGTATGGACCATTCTTCATTATCGTCCCATAAATTTCACAGTTTTGACCAAACTGTCCAAAAAAAAAAAAAAAACCCTGACGTTAGGTTTTTTGGAGTTTTCATCTCCGTGACTTTTAAGGTTCTCACTTAGAGGAAACTTTGATTTCCATTTTGCACCCAAATTACCCATTCAAAGATCATTTTACTACCCTACATATTCTAAAAATTAAAATGGACGTTTAATTTAAATGATAAATACATGGTACACACTAATTTAACTATAGTTAGAATATAACGTTTTTACCAACAAGCACTTGGTCCATGCTGCAGTGATTAAAATATTTGTTGGGAGAACTTTAAAAAAATCTACCCTGTTTTAATCCAGATTAATCAGAATAATAATTTCGGACACGAGGTGCGTAATATACCAAAAAAACATAACCTTTTGTTTAATTAATAACAATTATGTGAGTTGTAATGTAAAAGTAAAAAACAATTCTGTAAATTACAAAATACTACTACCGGATATCTCGGTGACGTTGGAGTTCGTTCTACTTTGCACGTGTGATGCTCACGCTCCAAGAGTCAAAGTGACCTACTATAACCCGTACCCTTTCACTGTTAACCCACATTTGAAGATAATTGCCTTTACCCAAATTATACATATTTATTATTGAAATCAAAGCCATATTAATTAAGTAGAATTATTTTTATGAAAGAAGACAGAGGAAAAAAAATAAAGAAAAAGGAAAAGAATTATTTTTATGAAAGAAGACAGAGGAAAAACAATAAAGAAAAAGGAAAATTAAATTGTAGGGTTTTCAGCACCTGCCCCATAAGTCTACAGCCATAAGCAGATAACAGAGGTGGAGGAGGGTCACATACAAGAGAGAGTGCTTTTCTCTGTCTGTTTTTCATTTTTTTTTCTCTTTATATATATTTTTTCTCTCTCCATAAATTTGGTGTGATTTGTTCAAAGTTTTTTTGACTCTTCATTTCTTAGTACATTGTATATCTTGATCTAAATCTTGTTTTTTCATTTTTAATTTTTTTTTCTTCTCCCAATTTTGATGTGAGATTTAGTGAGGAACTGTTGATACATGGTTATAGTTTTTTGGGTATTGATTGATTTGCTTTGTTATGATAATTTTCTGATCTGGGGGTTTGAATGATTTCACTCTTTTTGAGCTTCAAGAGGAAGTGATGCCAAAAGGTACACTGCACTAGGGGGAGCTTTGGTTGGTATTAGGGAAGGGAGATTTACTTACACCCACATTTGTCATCATCAGCATCATCAAAAATCATACAAGTAATAATCTTTGATCGTTGATAATGATGGTGAAAATGAAGTATAGGGCTCTTTTGACCAGAGTAAAAGAGTTCAGATAAAGCACAACAAAAGAACACCCCCTTCAGGAAAAGATGTCCCCTTTGATGCTCATTCTTGATTGTTTTGGTCAATAAGGCACACAGAGAGATAGAGAGAGAGAGAGAGAAAAGGGAAAGGAGTGTAAAAACTCTTCCCCTATTGTGTTTAACTCTCTTTTCTTTCTTCCCTTTCCTTACTCTTTTTTCATCCACACGCTTCATCTCATTTTTGGTCTTCAGATGTGATGTGCATTGAACAAGACTGCATCTTTGCTGAAAAGGGTCTCTGTATTTAAGTGATTCCATTGTGGGTTTGGGGCCAAAGGTGTGAGGAAAGATGCCTATGTACCAGCCATCTAGTAGGGGAAGGGATGGGTTTGAAGTCAGTGGCGGTGGGCAGGTTTTGGATCTGGAAACTGCTGTGAAAGATGGGATCTTGGGAGGTGGAGGTGGGGTGGTGGTACATACTTGTGCCAAGGGTGAAAAATTCGATCTGAAGAAGATGATTGAAGAGCTTGAATCGATTGAGATTCCTTCTGTGTTCATTTGCCCAATTTCACTTGAGCCAATGCAAGATCCTGTTACCCTTTGCACAGGCCAAACCTATGAGAGATCCAATATTCTCAAATGGTTCTCCATGGGGCACTTCACTTGCCCCACCACAATGCAGGAGCTCTGGGATGATTCAATCACTCCCAATAGTACCCTTCACCAGTTAATTTACAGTTGGTTTACTCAGAAGTATCTTGCCATGAAGAAGAGGTCAGAAGATGTCCAAGGAAGGTCCTTGGAGCTTTTGGAGACTCTGAAGAAAGTTAAAGGCCAGGCTAGAGTTCAGGCTTTGAAAGAGTTGAGGAAAGTTGTTTCCGCCCATGATTCCGCCAAGAAAACAGCAGTGGATAATGGTGGGGTTTCTCTGGTTTCCTCATTGTTGGGTCCTTTCACTACACACGCAGTTGGTTCAGAGGCCATTGGGATTTTGGTGAATTTGGAGCTCAGTTTGGATGCAAAGGCGAATCTGAGGCAACCTTCCAAGATTTCCTTGATCGTGGATATATTGAACGAGGGTTCGATTGAAACGAAAATCAATTGCACACGATTGATAGAACTGTTGATGGAAGGGGAGGATTTCGAGTCAGAAATTGTGTCAAGTTTGAGTCTTCTGGTTGGAGTGTTGAGATTAGTGAAGGATAAGAGACATCCAAATGGGGTATCTGCTGGTCTCAGACTACTGAAACTCATTTGCACCCATGAACCTGTGAGGAACTCTGTTATAAGTATAGGGGCCGTTCCTCAATTGGTTGAGGTGTTGCCTAGTTTGAATGCTGAGTGTTTAGAATTGGCACTCTATGTTCTTGAAGCATTGTCTACACTTCCGGAGGGTGGCCTGGCCCTGAAGAATTGTCCCATTGCTATCCCCACAATCGTCAAGCTGTTGATGAAGGTTTCGGAGAGCTGTACTCAATTTGCATTGTCGATATTGTGGGCAGTTTGTAAACTTGCTCCGGAGGAGTGTGCTGCGCTTGCTGTGGATGCAGGTCTAGCGGCAAAGTTGCTTCTCGTCATTCAGAGTGGTTGCAATCCTGTATTGAAGCAACGATCAGCAGAGCTATTGAAATTATGTAGTTTAAATTATACAGCAACCATTTTTATTTCGAAATGTAAACTTACGAGAACAATACAATGAAGGAACAGGTGAATTGTTTATATGTATACCCTCACTTCCCTTCCCATTCGGAGGACACACAAGCTCTCAAGTTGTCGGAGATGATTCAACAGAGAGCTTCATTGAGCATCGAGGTACATGTATCTCCTTGTATATGGTGATTCATTGATCAGATGAGATACATCATGTTTGGATCTTTGGCCGGACTGATAATGATGTTCAGATAGGAATGGCCCATCTCTTGATAATCCGAATGGTATTAATCAATAATCTGGCCAGGGGCCTCTTTGATCCAAACTCACATAATGGCTATTGCAAAGTGTTGCCCGGTGCAACACCACTGCAATATTACTTCATTGTGTAAAAGAATGCCTGCAGACAATTGATCTGCATTGCTGTCAGTTGGGAATGTAAACACTCATAAACTGGTATGGAAAGAAAATTTTGCCAGCCCTTGTATTTACAATTGTATAAGTAGCATCTTTGGATTTTACATTCCATTAATCCTATTCTTGAGTGCTTTGGCTCTTTCGTGAAGTTCCCTCAAGGAGGATCTTCATTCACAGTTTTGTCGATTCACTAGCAGGATTGTTAGGGATTGCTCTTGTAGAGTGCTTTTCAATCTCTTATTCCTAGCATAATTGTGCAAAAGCTTATTACTGGCCTCTAATCTCTTCCAAGTTAATTGTGCAAGCATGATATAGCTTTTTCGCTTTGATTGCAATCATATTTCAATTGTCTATCTTGTTGCATCTATTATGATTGTCCTGTAGAAATGTTGTTTATACTCTGTATTCTCAGTTGTAAATGACATGTTTATGTTCAGATTGATGCGTTGTATATCAGCCTGATTAAGTTGGTGCAGAAAATGACTGCCCCGTTTTCTTCCGTTGGCATAAATATACAACGATTTTCTAGATTTTCAAGCTTGGTAGGAAGATATTTTTGAGAAGGGTTCAACAGAACTAAATGATGCTGTAATTTTCAGTCTTCTTAGGTAGTGATAGCTATAAACCAAGATCATATCAGCACCTGATGTGCTTCTAAACTGAAATGATGAATGTTGTAACTAGCTCCAAACTCGCTTTCAGCATACATCTATCGCTATGGCTTATTGTTGTGATTATGTGTTTGTTGAATCTCACAATAGTGTGTTTGTTTAAGAAGCATCTGAGGTTTGAAGTTCAAGAGCTGTGGTCATGTAGTATTATGTACCTTGTGGTTTTCTCAGCTGTTGTTGGAGCAGCAAAGGCTGCACTAATGTGTTGATTCAGCACATTAGATTAGGGGTGACTCACCAGGCTGTGAAACCCTAGCAGAGCTTAACTCTGCCTGAGTTATATCTTGCATTAGTATTATAGGAAGCTATATTCGCTCCAGGTTAGATTCTTGCCACCCTGTCGTATCATAGATTGCTATCCATGATTTATGTATCAGTATGAAGTATAGTAAGCGGACACTTCAAAAAAATCTGGAGAAATCGAAATGGGAGGGATGATATAGTAGGTATGTTGTGGTTGTGTAAAGGAGGAGGTGGCTTTCTCAACTTTCTTGTGTCTAACAGACGCCCCACCGCAGCGCACGAACTCCACAGGTCCCTCCTTGTTCATGGCCATGAAGTTGGACCAGGAAAGGGAGATGGAGAATGGAAGATAAAGAAAAGGAGTTTGTAAAGGGCACGGGACCGTGTTCTACCATTCCCTCCTTGCCTGAAAAGGAGAGCAAAGAAAACAAAGAAGTATTTGTTGGCATTTGGCATTTTGGGATCTTTGACTGAGAAAAGTTGTGAGATTTGCCAAAAAAAGAGCTTGCCACATTGGGGGTTGAAGCCTAAAAGAAAAGATGCTACGTTGAATTGAAGTTGAACGTTGTCATCTGTGGTTTGAAATTTCCTTCTCTAAATGGTGAAAATAAACATACAAAGAAATGGATGGTCACCTAAACATACAAAAAATGAAAAGAAAAACACCCCTTGAATTAACGTGTTTTTATGTAATGTCCATTATCATTATGTGTTTCTTTTCCTTTTTATTATTATTATTAATTTTTTTTGATGAAACTGAGAAGGGTTCAAGCAACCATTGTTTCTTCTAATTAAAATGGGGAATAGGAGGAATAATTTTCATGTATCCATAGCTCGCTGGATTTAGTTGATTTCTGGGAGCGAACCTTCTGAAATTGGCAACTAGACATGTAATTCGCTACTTCCTTCCCTCTGGGTTTTACTCAATTACTTAATTCTTGGAAAACAAATAGCAAATGTAAGTGAGGAGAGTTAAACCATGAGTTTTAGACAAAATGCCTTTAGTAATGTCCATCTCTTTTGAAACTATTTATTCTTCGTAAAAATTTGGGAAAAGTAATAAAATTGTAAGGATTGAAATTTGTATCTTCTTCTTGTGTCAATTTACATCCACTCAAAAACTGTTGGTCTTCTGCATCTTAGACCCGTGTTAACTTGCTGAGTGAGCTAGTGATATTTCGCACTTACCTCCTTGGGTTGAAAATCATATTTTGACAACACTTTTATCCGGCATTAGAAGAGGTAAGACATAGACTAGCTTGGATGCACCGCACGACGTGCGGTGTTTGGAAATATTTACCCATGCAATGATATTATAAATGTTGATTCACCGATACTTTTCTGGTTTTAGTACAACTTGTATTATAAGTGTGTCAGATTTTAGTACGTTTCTGTACACACAAAACAAGTCTCAATATCCTCAGGCATATTAATAACAAAATGCACATCTCTGCAATATATATGTAAAAGTTCTCATACTTTTCCTATCTGTACAATTTAGGAACTGGTTTTTCTTTTCTCCATCTACATTCCTACGGGTTATGCAGTGCTGTTAATACTGGAGTCTGGAGCTATCGAAACTAATATTAGGCAAAAACTCCCACTCTCCATCACTCGGAGTCTTAGATTGCTTATCTCACTTTGAAAGTTCTGGGGATGCTGCAGTCAGTTGAACATGTAGCGTCTTCAATTCTTGATGCAGCACCTGCCAGACGCGTATGATGTCTTCCAATCTTCCCTAGTGCATACTTTACAACGCCACAGTTGTATGAAATCTTCGTTGTTGAAGCGCATAATTCTAGGTTTTCTTTTTCAAGTCTCTTTTTCTTTCTTTTTCTTCTGTTCTGAAATCGTCATAATCTTGTTATCTTTCATCAAAGAGAGAATGTTTCAAAAAATATTTTAAAAAAATGGTGAAAACAATCGCCACACATAAAAATTTACAATAATATCTGAAAATAATATAAAGGAAAGTCTTCTCAGATAATAGGTTCTGGATTAGTTTGTGAACAAAAAAGTGAAAGGCATAATTTAGAATAAAACTGACCATGCTCAAAACAGGATTTCTACATGGCTATCAAATGAGTAATCCTAACACTCCTAGGAACCAAGTAAATTTGCCACTCAAGTAAATTTTGAAAGAAATTAAACCTTTACTCAAGTTGTTTTCACTTGCATATGGTGATAATGAAGGACGACTAATATCTTCTTTTATTGTTTTTTTTTAAATTAATATACAATATGATAGATGAGAGGTAGGTGCAGACTGTATTCTTCGTAAAATTTTTAATTTAATGACTGAAAGATGATAGTACATGTGAGAAAGATGCCAATACATACTGGACATACTCTTGTTAAATATACCTAATTATCATACGCCATTTTATGCATACTCAATTCACCAAAAAACCTACGAAAGAAACTGATAAGATTCAGAAAGCTTATTGTCATTTCCACAGTCCCTTATTGGCCATAGGCACAGGCTGCCGTATCAAATCGCCGCCACCTTGCATCTTTTTTTCGGAAACCCATGACCATTTTCCTCCTCACCTTGCATAATTCTGCCCTTTAAAGTACAGGTTGCATATTTCTAAATTTGTCACTGGGGGCTGAGCAAAAACAGAACTACTTTGGTCAACTGGCAACCTCCCTCATCGAAAGACAAATTTAAAGCAAGAGGAAAACTCCCTATAAAAATCCCAATCAGTCGACATTGATATGAACAATCGGTGAACGTCCCATCGATCAAAGTATTAAGAGCATAAAAACCATTAACAATTAATTTGAAATCCGAAAACCATTCATTTCTATAACCTAACACTTTGTAGCATAATATCGAACACCTTAAGTACACTAAAAACATGCATTCAGAATTGTATTTGTTGCCAAATTTTTCAGCCAGCCGCAAAACTACGCATAGTTTTATTTTTTTCGCGGAAGAAGCAAATCTAAAGTGTAAAACTTAATTAAGTGTAATACTGCAATTCCCACACTCCTGACCTCTGCCCAATACTTGCCAATTTTTTACTCACAGTCAAAACATGCAAGCCCCATTAGCAGATCAATCAATGGTTATTTTGGCACCTTTCCAACATTAAAACACAAATTCAAAGCAGAGGGAAAAACCCCTTTAAAATTCCCAATTAGTCTAAATTGATATGAGCAATCGGAGAATATTCCATTGAATGAAATTATTAAAAACATAAAACCCATTAACAATTGACCCTAAAGCGAACACTTTCAACACACTAAACATGCTATCAAGATTGGATTTGTTATCAAATTTTGGGCAAATGAAAAACCAGATATAGGTCTTTTCTAACACGAAAAAAGAAAGATCTTAGCTAACCTTTACTCTGGCACCAGCAAAACTGGCTATTGCTATCGTCGGTCTTCAGTTTGGCGGAACAACGGGTCTGATAGAACTAAATTTGAAAGGAATGAAGACTTGAAGTTTTGTGTGGAGCCGTGGACAATAGAACAAGCCGCGTACAAGAAAGTGCAACTGGCAACTGAAGGAGAACATCGGGTTGAAGAAGTGGACGGCCAAAGGGAGAAAAAGGGGGTGCAATCACACGCCGCCACGTCACCAAAAACAGCCGGCAACTTGCACTTAACCGTGCAACAAAAAGGAGATTCCCTTTTATATATATATATATATATATATATATATCCTACTATATTAGAAACAAAAACCTCCCTTTCAAACACATCATATGATTGCCACGTGGCATGTAGAAAATACTAAATTGCCCTTTTGTCTAACCATAACTAAATTACTAAATCTCCCTTTGCACTTTACGTGACACGTTTTTTTTTAAAATTTTTTCTTTATGTTTCATTCAACTAGAGTGGTTTTTTAAATTGAATTGATCAATTAGGTTTTTTGTTACAAAGTGTCAATTTTGTTTTAAGCGTATACCCTTCGGATGAAACTTATTACAAAGCTATTAAAAATCTCCAAAACTAAGTATTAATTTGGCACGACCAATGGAGAACATCAATAAATCATCTTACTAATATTTAAATTTATTAGGATGCTTTTATATTTTATCTAACATTTACTTCAACACATATATTCGACTAAGCTATTTATATTTAATAAGTAACACTTACAAAACATTTCTAAAACATACATGGCGAAATACATTTTTTTTTTTTTGCGAAATACAAATATTTCTATGATCACACTTATAAAACATTTCTAAATCCTTCAAAAAATTTTAAAATATATCGCTCCAAATACAAAATTTAATTTTTTTCAAATATAAACATTTCTAAGATCTACAGATAGACTGGGCCAGGGTCGCGCATTGCGCGACCAGACATCACTAGTATATATATAGATATAGATATGTTTTGTAATCTTAAGGCTTCGTTCGTATACGTATTAAATAAATAAACAACATTTTCAAAAAAATAAAAAAAAAATAGTCTCTCTCATTTAAAAATAATTATCCAATAAGACCCGTGAATCCAAATTTTGCCAAAGCATCTGTGACGACATAAATTCCGTCGAGTATGCTTGATCCGAACTCTCGTTTACCTCGTCTGTCTAAAGCTTAACTCCCTCGAAATAATATCTAAATTGATATAACACCCATCCCCCGCTTGCCAGTGAGTTGGCCCAATTAAAGGCTCCGTCAAAACACAAAGTTGGAGTTGAGAGATCAGACTTCCAAGTGTGCAAATCTGGTGTCCATGGAACTAACTAATCCAGGTAAAATGCATACCAATTTCTTCCATTGGCTGATGAGTTGCATGATTAAAATGCTGGCAAGAGTAACTTCACAACTTCCCATATCTAGGGTTTTCCACAAACTTACAGGGAAATTTTTCGTCTCCCCACAAAGCAGCAGATAACATGTGAAATAAACACCAGTAAGAAATAGCCAAAAGAAGTAGACCATTAAACCCCTAAGCAACAACACCAGAAGGCATGCTGAGAACCTATCTTACAAAGCAATCACACCCATCTCACATTTATGGAGGACCCAAAGCCTTCCACCAACTGTTCAGCAACCCTGGGCTTTTCAGGAAGAGGTACATCAGAGCGCATCTGGCACAGAGGGCACAGAAAAGGAAAGGAATTCGACAGATTCAGCATCAGGTGATATTTTTTGAAGCAGGAAACTATAAATAGGAGAATTCGGAGTTAGTAACCTAATAAGCCACCAAGTCGGAGCGATAACAAAAAGATACAGGATAGATTTTCAAAAGTCATTGGTCCAAATTCTAATTACTAAATTTGATTCAACGCTCTGCATTAGAGCGCCTCCAACAAAGAAGGGTGGACTTACCAACATATTCAAAACTCCTAAAATGTGGAAAAACCACATTGCACAATTGCAGCAAAAATAGTAAGAATAACCGGAGCGGCAAAATGATTGAGAGTTCATAGACCACACTTTCTACCCAACAAGCTTACATATGCACAATACAACTTTGGAAATGTAGCAATGATTCCAGAAAATACGCTGCTACTCACCTGTGAACACACTTGAGCAAAAGCATCATTATACACCCAGTCACCCACTAGCTCTTTTGTAAGCTTGATACATGTGTCCTCAGAGATTTCCTCCTGCAACAAGAGGGGAGAAATTATAATAATTGTAAACACAAACGTAAAGCTTAACAAAGGAACCAACCACCACAACCCACCTTTACTCTATTAAGCAGAGTATTAAGCTTCACCATTTTTATCTCTATCAAGTTTAGGCGCTAAGAAAGGCAGCAACCGGACAAAAGGAACTCCTTTCACTTTCCTAGCTGCAAGTTTACCCATGCACCCTTGAGAGAATTCAACTAAATTTTCATAAATAATTGACATCAATAAATTCTTAGTGAAAACATATAGCCAAAACACAAGCAAGGGCAAGAAAAAAGATACTGTACTAAACAAACAAGGTTTTCAATCAAGTCCTTCAGTAACCTCTTAACCTTAAAACAACAAATATAATTTACTCGATCAGGATAAAGGATTACTAATGTAAACGCAAATCTGCAAGACTAGTATCTGTAATTATGTGTATGGTTTCAGAAACCATCAATTCAATCAAGCAGGCACTTTTATCAGAAACCAATTATTGCAAGGAAATTCTACATTTACGATGCACAAGCATTAACAAATTCAACACTCATAGTCGGGAGTGAGGAATAACTTACAACTACCAAAACGTGAGGCCTGATATGCAATAAATTCGACTTCAACATCCTGGTTCATCAGATTCAGAAAATCGAGCTCGTAATCAAAATGGAATCTAGAACATCCAAAAGAAAAAAGAAAAAAGAAAGAAAAAACTTTTTACCCAACAAGTATGAAATTTGGCAATTTGTTACATTTTACATAATTGAATTGTCCATTATTATTCGTCAAATGACTAAATTTACTAGCGTAGAATATGCATATGTCGAATAAACACGAGGAAAAACAAATTGCACAAAGGCAGCATACCCACTAGAGTGACAAGATGACTTCTTTCGAAAGAGTTTATAGAACACAATTTCTAATGAACAAGCTTAAATATGAGTGATTTAACATCGGAAGCGTACAAAAATGGTTCCCGCTACTCACCTGAAACAGCAGTTGACCAATAGCACTGTAAAACATCGGGTACCCCACAAGATCTTTCGTAAGCAGGATAAATGTGTTTACAGAGATCTCCTTTTTCTGAAATAAGGGGAAAAAAAAACTACGATAATTATAAACACCATACATACAAAGTTTAACAAAGGATCTGGCCACCACAACCCACCTTTAATCTCCTCGACAGAGTATTAAGCTGCAACCCTTTACTTTTTATCAAGTTTAGGTTCTATGAAATGTAGCCACCGGGCAAAAGGAACTTGATTGATATTCCCTCGAGACAATGGAGCTACATTTTCATACACCAATTGACATTAATAAATACTCAGCAAAAACATCAAGCCAACGCACAAGCCAGTACCAAGAGCAGAGGAGAAGATACAACATAAACAAGCCTCACAATCATCTACATCGGGAACCTTTTCACCTAAACTAATAATTACACAATCAGGACGGAGGATTCCTCATAATAAGATCACTAATTTGTAAGACTTGTAAACTCAACAAATGATGTCAACAGAATATCCGATTTACTTGCAGCTTAAACTGATCAAACCAGCGAAATCCAAGCAACAAAGACTTCCAACAGACTCACTAAGAAAGGAACACAGTTTCGTTCTTTTAAACTCGCCAATTCAATCAAGATGGCACCTTTATTAGAAACCAAATTGCACCAGTCCATTAAAACATAACTATCATTAAGATAATCACTGTTTACTAAGCAGAATTATCAATTCAGCATTCAGAGTCAGACAACTGGGAGTGGAGAATAAATACAACTGCCAGAACAACAGGTCTTCCCAAAATCTTCAAGTCCAATGGGAGACTTACCATAGCCTGAGGTAGCACTTCTCACAATTGTGAAATCCTAAATAGCACAAGAGAGGGCAAAATAATAAGATAACAAGACAACAACAAATATAATCAAAGGAAGAAAAAGAAAAGGGAGCCAATGTGGCATTTGTTCTCTCTGAATTACTGAATAGAACGTAAAAGAGATGCCCCATTTTAGCCAGGGAAGAGCAGAGGAGAGGAGCCAGTACCTTAAATTTAACGGGAAACCCTATCTTTTGGATAAGTCTCGTATACTGAAGGGGTGAAAAAAAATGAAGTTATAAATAACAATGTAGCATTAAATCAATGTAACGTACAGAAGGAATGACAAATAAAAGAAGAAAAAAAGGATTTCTGAGAATTCATAAAGGATGTTATACTTCATGACCTAGAAAATTGAAGCCAGTCAAATTATTTACATTCATTAGGAACTTTATCACTAATTAATAAGTTTGTTTAACTGCTGAAATTAACAAGTCATAGTAGACAATATGACTTGACAAGATCACTTAATTAATCAAGTTCCACTAGTAATCATTATTGAAAATAAAATGTCTTAATGGATTAAGTGCGTCCCGAATACAAGTACTATACATAAACATAGCGACCCTTTGACTAATCAGATGCATCAAAAAGAGAAATTTAATACATTAAGACTTCTACAAAGTTTCTTCAATTTTATCAAACAGAACCAAGAAATTTCCCAAAATGACAAATACTAGCAATTTAATGCACCTTTCGAGCGGCTAATTGAGCCTCTGCCTCACTCTTGCCTCCAATGCAAACCTGATTATAACAACAACAGTTTAGCACTAAAAACAAGCATCAACATAAGAAAGTTCTCAAGAACATAGCTTACAATACATCCACCAAGAAACATAATAAAAAGATGTGAATAAATTTGAATTCACGATTGATATATTGGTTAACCAAAAACCAAGTTTACCGATCCAACAAACAAAAGAAAGCAAGTCAAGTTAAACCATCACTTGGGAAGGTTAAGGATTCAAAAACTAGACAAGGTATCAACACTGTTTACAGCATACCATCATTCCAGAAGCATAAAAGAGTGCCTCTGTTGATCTTTCCTCGCCATAAGCACAGCAGGGGGACACTGGAGCACATCAACAAGTTAAAATAGTATACAGCACCATCATCAATAGCTTCTTATAAAGGCCAATTCAAATGTGAGATAGAGTAATTGTGAAAAGAGAAGTTACAACTTGTAACAAGCAAGACTAAGCAACGGCCTGGCCAGCAAGAATTTCTTATAATATCTATAAGCCAACTCAAAAGCTGAAATATAATTAATCAGCATGGCCAAACGGGCAATTAAAATTAATGAATAGCATCAGATAAGAAAATTATTAAGGAAAAAATCAATTGGCGAATTATCCAGTTTTAATAGAAGATACAACCTACCAAGTACTTGTGCCTGATCACCAGGATGGAACTGCAAAACTTTAAATTTTGATTAATGGAGTGAGCTATAAGACTCGTATATATCACATCATTTGGAATATCCTCACTTAGAATTTAACAAGTGCATAACTTTTTCACTATCTAACAGCAACATCTAATAGTACAAAAGTTTTCTGCCAAAAGTTTTACTATATTCCAAACTAAATTCTGTTAGATCCATGAGCAATTTAGTGTCGTTAACATGCATTGCAGGATTATGTTCTGCCCTGGATTTGTTTGACCACTTGACTGAAATTTTAAGGTGCACTTCAAACCAAACTAATTCACCTGAATTCTAATTCAGTTTCTGAGTTCCAGTTTTCGTCTTTACTAGTTCAGAGTGGATTCCTAAAACTTAACTCAATCAGATTAACAAGGATACCCAGTTAGCCAGTATGATGAAAATCTAACCCATAAGACATCTCCGGTCTCATGGCAGATAGTAAATGCAAAATGAAAAAGACGAAAAGTATATCTCAATGAATGGTGGTAAGTAACAGGAAGAATAGATATCATTAGACAAATAAAAGAGAGTGGTGATAGGTGTATCACATTGCATATTTGTAAGTAAAACAAGCACACTTCTGCGAGAGAGAGAGAGAGAGAGAGAGAGAGAGAGAGAGAGAGAGAGAGAATTACTAGACAAATAAATCAACCCGCACTTGGCTACAGAGTATATACTGCTGAACACATGATCAGAAATTCTACATGATAAAAATTATCACTCTCTTTTTACGAACAAGACATCAGCAGAATAAAAAGAAAAACAAACCATAAATACGTGCCTTGGGGTCATATTCTGCATTTAGTAACCGCGTCGCAACACAAGGGAGGTCCAAACGGCAGTCCAACAAAACCGTGGCTACAAATACAATGAATGACCAGAGAACTCAAATCAATTGAGTATATAGAAGGCAAATTGGAACAGTTCTGTAATATGTATGACGTCATACAGAATCCTGGAGCTAGAAATCAAGAACAAAGGAAAAAACAGTGATAAGAAAATAAATAAAGCAAGTAGCAACATGATTATCCACCAAGAGTTATTATGTTATCAATGTTTCTGTGAGACAACAAAAGTTCCTGATACAATATCTTGACTTTCCACAGATAGTCGGCCATACATATTTGATTGGTATATTTAGCCTTGAAAAGTAAAAACTCGCACATTCATGAATTAGCTGTGCTTTGTTTTTGAAATATTTAGCTGTACTAAAAAGGGGAAAGAAACTTGACATCTGTGACAAACGCAACGCCTATGAGCAGGAGCAAAAAAAGAACTTCAAAATACCAGATGTTCAGAATGGTAATAAGATGCACAACCCAGCAGCCAAATACGGTTGAAAAAGATGCAAATTCCCAAAAACAGGAAAGAGTAATTAGTTAAAACACGTGGCCATACCACAAAGATAACAAAACGGGGGTGCCATCCTCAAATCTTGAGCAATGGAGGGAGAGGGATTAGCTAGTATCGACAAGTAAAGGGTAGTCGTTTTGCTACTCACAACCAAGAATAATCTAAAGGCTGAATGACCAAAGTGCTAGTTTTAAATGGTGATCAGTTTGCACATGTCATCAAGACTAAATGAAAACCAAATAACAAATTACTAGAAAGGTAGCAGATAAAACTTACTCAAAGAGTAGGGAAAATTCCAGAAAGATACTCAGACATATCCACTGGTGGACTCCCTTCTAAGTTTGTAGGCTCTTCCATTTGCAGTCACCATTTTCTCTACCACACAGACAACCTATATGTAAACTTCAAAGACCAAAATACATAGATAAATAAGTAATGGGAGGGGAATCAGAAAATGCTTATTTCTAGGTTGCATAAAATTGAAGCTAATTCGACGTCAGTTGCATACTCAACAATCAAACATATAACATCAACAACTGCATTCAAGATGAATTTAGAGTGAAAATCAAGAATTAGCAAATCTTACACGCGATTAAACAAGGTACAAACAACCCTTCAACGACAAAATCAAGCTTATTCTTCCACCAAAACAGAAACAATAGCATTTCCACGAACCTTATCTTGAAACATCAATCAATATAGCATGGAATCAGAACTCTATCCATGCGTTTAATCGTTTAGCACGTAAGGAAAGGAACATGTATCCCACATATGCCTAAGTTTAACAGAGTCACATCGGTATGATTCAATTTTCCATTGGATCAAAATTAGAGTTCATCGGCGAACATTTTCAATTATGGGTAATATTACAGAAAGATTCAACATACGGCGAAGATGATGAAACCAGTGAGCTGTAGAGAACCGTTGTGATTTCTGAAGAACCGTTGCAATCGCTGGTTGAAAGACGAGGGATGAGGATTATTATTCGTAGGAGTAGCCTTATTTATAGTGCTGGTTATGGGTTCCAATTGGGGAAATCGACCAATTTGGTACAAATACTTTTTCGCAAACGTATAAATTGCCCATTATTTTCTCCATACGATCCATTTGGTTCCATATGTTTGGACAATTAACCAGTATGGTCCCATGACTTCCACGTTTTTTTTTTTTTTTGTTTCGAGAAACCAGCAGAAAAGTGCTATATATATATATATATATATATATATATATATATATATATATATATACACTAGAGATGTCTGGTCGTGCAATGCGCGACCCTGGCCCAGTATATCTGTAGATCTTAGAAATATTTGTATTTGAAAAAAAAATATTTTGCATTTGGCCCGATATATTTTAGAAATGTTTGAAGAATTTAGAAATGTTTTATAAGTGTGATCATAAAAATGTTTGTATTTGGCAAAAAAAAAAAAGTGTATTTGGCTCGGTACGTTTTAGAAATGTTTGAATATTTTAGAAATGTTTTATAAGTGTTACTTATTCAATATAAATAAACTTGATCAAGTATATCTCTTGAAATAAATGTTAGACAAAATATAAAAGCCTCCTAATAAGTTTAAATATTAGTAAGATGATTTATTGATGTTCTCCATTTGTCGTGCCAAATCAATACTTGGTTTTGGAGATTTATTATAGCTTTGTAGTAAGCTTCCTCCGAAGGGTATACGTTTAATTGTTGGAACTGTTTCTTCCAAAGGCTTATAGCTAGTAAAATATCAAAATATGATTTTGAAACTGATTAATTGTTGAAACTGGTTGATCACAAATATGAGAATGAAAATTAATGTAAATTTGCATAGTTTCAAGTTATAACAAAAAAGAACTCACCTCACCATGGCAAATAAAAAAAAATAAGTAAAAGAGTCTATTAAAAATTGAGAATTTTTTTTTCCTATAGGTAAAAATGATGTATAAAACACAAATAAACGTAGAAACATCATTCCTTCCCTCTCCACCTCAAATTCATAAAAGGCTTCCCCATAAATTAGTTAGAAGAAGCGACCTGAACCATTTATATGATGAGTAATTTAAAAAAGTCCAAAAACCAAATCCGAAAAATTATATTCTTGAAAGTCCAAACACAAAAAAAAAAACGCGCTTCATTTGCAGCAATAATAATAATAATAATAATAATAATAATAATAATAATAATTAGTCAACTGAGAGTATGAAACAAAATCAAAATCAATTAAACAAAGAAAAAACACAATTCATAACTGACCATATACGAAAAAAAAACTGAGACTCCATAATTAAAAAAAGGAAAACCACTCTAAATGAATAAAATATAAAAAAAAAATTAAAAAAATACACTTTGTGACAAAAACCCAATTGATCAATTCAATTCAAACAGAACTAAAATCATACAAAAATTCTAAACTGACTAACCATATAAGATATCACATCATATTACTTGGCAACGGCTACGGTAGCTGTAACGGGTGGACGCATAAAAATAATAGTAATAACACTATTCTTGAACGGGAAAAATAAAAAATAATAAAAGTCGTACAAATGATCTGTGGATATAAAATCATTTAAATTTTAATATTTGTAACGGCACCACCACAACGGCCGAAAGCAACATCAATGAGAATTTTTTTTTTCTTTTGTGTTTATGTAAAGAGGTAAAGAGAATATTTTTTGAAATCGAAATTTTATCTGATTAGGATGTAGTTGATCATCACTAATGAAAAGATTGAACATGCTAATAGGAAAGAATGATATTTCACCATGTATTCTCAATTGATGATTGATGAGAAATTTGTTTTTTTTTTTTTTTTGTGGAGAAGGGATTGATTAGGGAGTCGATTGTCGTGGAGATGGAAATGAGGATTTGTGTTTTCTATGAAGTCGTGTTTTTTTTTTTTTTTTGCGAAAATAGGAGGTGGTGGTTGATTTGGACTGCATTTGCCTTTTAAGTTTAGGAAACTGATGTGTAAATAAAAATTTATTTTAAAGATATGATGTGAAAATGCCACATGGCAAATGGTGGTGCTTTATCTTAAGTGTGGTTTTTGTTTCTAATATAGTAATATACATATATATATATATATGTTGTTGGGAAAAAAATCCCACATCGCCCGTGCTCAGTATCTGAGACCTGTTTATAAGATACAAGGACCATCCCACTCATTACCAATTGGTTTTGAGATGGGAGTCGAAATACTTTGACATGGTATTAGAACTAGCCTACGGGTTGTGCTTTATATTATGTTTCTTCTATTTCTCTTAACTGACCCGAATGGACAAACTGGTCCATAGGCAGAATTCGACCGACCCGTTTAAACTTTGACTCATGGGTTGCGTTGACTTCTTTCTCCGACTTATTTGGGTTTTGACTCATAAGCGGCTTTCAATTCTTTTTCCGACCCATTGGGATATGACCCATGGGCGGTTTCTCGTTCTTGTTATTTTATTACAAGCCCATCAGGTAAATTCTCTATTGGGCTTTGAGGGAGGGTGTTGGGAAAAGAATCTCATATCGCCTGTGCTTAGAATCTGAGACATGTTTATAAGTTATAAGGGCCACTCCATTCATTGTCAATTGGTTTTGAAATGGAAGCCCAAGTACTTTGATATATGTCTCAGCAGCAAAGGCCGCCCCACTCATTGCCAATTGGTTTTGAGATGAGAGCCAAGTACTTTGACATATGTCGCACCGGCAAGTTTAAGTAGTAAATTTGCCTTACTTTTGTATTTTAATAATATTTGATGTAGATTTTTAAATTCTTCGACCCAAATAAATGGCAGTAACAAAAATATTTCATACGTCCAAGTTAATATACAACCCTGCGGCGATATCACGAAAAAAACCCCTAGTAGATGATTAAACAGTTCGGCCAAAAAAATCAACAGCAAAATCACGATTCTGTGGAATTTTTGATCCATCTGTGTTAAATCTTCAATCCGCTGGAAGGTGATGAAATTTAATGGAAGGTACGGTACTCCCAAGTTCCAACTACAAACTCCCAACTCCAAAGCACTTTTGTTAATAACGTAGTAAAGGAAAACTCGGTTCACACTAAAATGCACTTCTTTTTTTGGTCAAGGAAAAACTCGGGTCACCCGTGCGATCTGAATGTGAATGGCTGGCGGGCTCAATCCACAAATCGCAAAATTTCTATCCTCTTTTTTTCGCAAAGAAAAAAAAAAAATGGCCAAACACGAATCAGGACGCCAAAACAAATTACCGGTTTTCCACATTCGTCACCGGCCAAGTAATCAATACCCGACAAAAAATTCGTCATCGTTCGCCCTTCACAAGCCAATCAAATTTCACCTTCAGAAATTTTCTTGGTAATACTCATTCTCAACGCAACGGAATCCCACTCACCAAACAAATTTTTCAATCTTCTTTGTGTGCACAAAAAGCTCAGCTATCGCCGCCGGCTCTGCCGCCGTCTCTGGTTCGTTTTCTCTCTCAAAATTTCCCCCCCTTTTTTTTTTTGGTTCTGATTATGTACAATATTATTAAAAGGTTGCGATGTTTTGTCTGGTAATAGTACTTTCGCAATTATTATTGAATACAGAACGAATCCCTATGCTCCTCGGTTTGAGCAACCCGTATCCGAAAAGTTACCCTGCTTCGTCTTCCCTGTTTCTTTAGTTCCTGCGGTTCAATCAATTTGAGCTCTAGGGTTCTACGTGCTTTACATTTTTCCTGTTTTTGAATCGTTCAAGAAGGTTGACTTTTTGAAGTCGAGGTAGGAAAGCTGTTCTGTTCTAGTTCAGCTCGAGTACTTCAGATGGATCTGGAGTTGGTCAAAAGGGGTGTGCATTTCTCAAAAAGGAAGAGGAAGTGGATTTTCATATTGGGTTTGGCGGGGCTCTCGAGCTATGGTGTGTATAGAGTTTACCACTTGCCTTCTGTTGTTAGGAAAAGGAAGATGCTTTTCAAGTTATTAGGTTCCTTGGTGTCAGTTGCGGAATTGGTTTCTGAATCTGCGGATACAATGCATACTGTGTCCAAGGATTTGAAGGAATTCTTGCAGTCTGATTCTGATGAGATTCCCAATAGTTTGAAGCAGTTATCTAAAATTGCCCGATCCAATGAGTTTTCTGGGTCATTGATTAGGATATCAGAGGCTATGACCACTGGGGTGTTAAGGGCCTACAACTCAGAGAACAGGGGTGAGATTGAGGAAGTGGGCAAACCGAGTTTTCCTGAGAAAATAATGGATAAGTTGATGTCTAGTGCTGGGACTGGATTTGTTTCTGTTGTTGTGGGAAGCTTTGCCAGGAATTTAGTCTTGGGGTTTTACTCGAATGGAGTATCGGGTGAAGAAGGGTTCAATGTAGATGGGCATAGTGGTATGTCTGAGCCGGTGCCTGGATGGGTAAATGTGGTCTGTGATGATAAATGCAAGACCCTCATAGCTGATTCCATAAAGACTTTTGTCAGTACGGCTGTGGCTGTTTATCTTGATAAAACAATGAACATCAACTTTTATGACGAGCTCTTCACTGGATTGACTAATCCTAAGCATCAGACTAAAGTCGGTGACATTTTGGTTTCACTCTGTAATGGCGCTGTGGAAACACTAGTGAAGACGTCTCACCAAGTGTTGACATCTTCGAATTCTAGTTCTGCATCAGGCAATGGTGTCAATGAAGGCTCTATATCATCAAGCAACAAGTTTTTGGATCAAGATGCATCTTTAGTCAAAGGGCAAGAAATATGCAGACCTGTGAAGTCTCAGAATGGTGGATGGGCGAGTAGTGTTTCATCAACATTGTCAGTTCCAAGCAATCGAAAATTTGTGTTGGATGTGACTGGCAGGGTTACCTTTGAAACTGTTCGATCCCTCATAGAGTTTGTCTTTTGGAAGATTTCAGAGGGGCTCAAAAGAAGCTTTGCGGTCATCCATGAGGATGTTATTGATAGAGGGCTGGAAGTCATCAGATATGTCGGTGCCAAAGCATCTGTTATTCTTACTATATGCCTTGCATTGTTTTTGCACATACTGGGCACTAGTCGTGCCATGTTGCCTGCATGATTTCTTGTTTCTTACCTTATCATATTTATGAAGATAATTCTGACAATGGCAATTTGCTGACACATCTGTGGTGGATAATTTGGATGCATTTGCCTGGCAGTAGGTTGAGGTACAAATGTTGCCAATTAGCCATGATTATAGGTTCTCAAATTCAGAAGAAGTTGAAGGTTATGGAGGACAGCATCCAATTTGTTCAAGGATTTTGTTGTAAGGAAATGAAGAATTCTTCTTTAAAATACCTATGAAAGAATAGATATATAGTAATTACATGTTGATTGTATTATTACCTTGGAAGTGCTGTCCATAAATGACCCGATCACCAGATGTACATGCTTCCTTAAAAAATGCTGGTAAGTTATTTAGGCTTCAGGAAGTTAACTTGTTGGTAACAAGTTTGCAGATTCCATCAAGCACACGATCCAGTGAAGTTAAGTGTATTGGCCTCATTTGAAATCTTTAGTTGCAATTGGCAGCTTGTCTTCTGAGTTCTTGATCATAGAAATATGTACTTATAGCAGTTTATCAAGCTTGTAAATATGATTATATAGTTTACACAAATCACTCAAATGGAGTGAGTACTAAATTTGTTCCTTTTGGGGTGTATAGTGCACTTAGTCACATACTCCCTCCGTCCCATAATTATTGTCCAGTTTGAGTTTTCATTTCTAGTTCAAATTATACTAAAAGTGAAATCTCAAACTGGACAATAATTTTGGGACAGAGGGAGTATCTGTTTATAAAGTCAGCTTTAGTTTCATGGAAACATGTTCATTAAGGTTGGCTCATGGTCATGATTACCTTCGTTAACCTTCTTCACTGATGTCTCCAACAATTCTCCAATGAATATATTTCCAGAACAGGGAAAGTTTCCCCGGAGTGATCTCCCTGATTCCTTTCAGTTTCAGCTGAGAGTTTAAAATGTAACTGTGAGATCAATCAATTAGACCTAATCTTTCAACTGACAATGATGCCATGGCTAAACTTCATCACTTCTCCAGCAATCACACGCGACTTCATAAACCCCCTGCTATCAGTTGGAATCGCGGATCCTTTGCATGATTGACGATGATCTTTTTCCGCAAGGACTAGATCTTTTCCTCGCTTGTCAAAGCTTGAACTTACTCCATCTCCATTTACAGTTGTAGCTTGCTTTTGTACAGGGCTTCTTTCATTCTTGTACAGACTCTTATGAAGTTTTTTGTTATGTATAATCTGGGTATATCACTGAAGATGTCAAATTTTTGAGCCAATTTTCGTTCTTACAAATTTCTTCAAGCAAAAATCGTGATATTTAAGTTTATAATATTTCAAATAAGTATGTGTAGAAAATCCGTTCAAAATATTATACATGAATTTTAGCTCAAACGTTTTATCAAATTTTTTGTTTCAAGGGTTAACATTGAATAACTATCATGACTAAAATTTAAAATATAAGTAAATATATTGAAAGCAGTTGCCACAAAGCCACGTAGTAGCTCCACAAAAGAAATTTTCCCGTCTAGATTTCAGAAACAATACTACTTAATTTTGGTTTATTAAGAAAAAGGAAACTCATAATTTTAAGCATAATCTTAAAGTTACCTTAGAATAATTTAATTTGATAAATCAATTATTATCTTCCAAAATTTAATTTTCTAATAATCAGATTCAAAGTGAAAATATCATCAACAATAAATTTTTTATTTTTTTTTCTTTTCATAGTTACATATTCTGCTCTAAACAAGTCCTGTTAAACAGTGGCCGGGCAACGGTCCGGGCTGATAAACTAGTTTATGTTACTGCATTTCCTTACCCAATAGTGAATAACATTCCAATTCCAATATTCCGAAATCCATTACCGGTCTGGGTTTGACTTTGGGGACACTTCTGTTCATTGACCGACTTTGGAAACTTTTCCAACCTTATATATAAACAGCCAGCCCCAGATATTTTTACTACTCACAATTAAATCCGCAATTCCCAAATTTCCCAAAAATCTTTTCAATCACCTCCGAACACCGCTTTCAAAACCCTCGCAGCCACCGCCGGCGACCTTAAAATATGTCGGCAGCAGTTAGAAAGGCGAACCAGAGGCTCCCGCCGGAGGTTAATAGGGTTCTCTACGTCCGAAACCTCCCGTTCAACATTACGAGCGAAGAGATGTACGATATATTCGGCAAGTTTGGGGCTATCAGACAAATCCGAATTGGCACCAATAAGGATACTCGCGGCACCGCCTTCGTTGTTTACGAAGACATCTACGATGCCAAGAACGCGGTGGATCATCTGTCTGGGTTTAATGTTGCCAATCGCTATCTGATTGTGCTGTATTATCAGCAGGCCAAGATGAGCAAGAAGTTTGATCAGAAGAAGCAAGAAGCTGAGCTTGCCAAGATGGAGGAGAAGTATGGTGTTGGGGCCGCCGCTTCTAAAGATAAGTAATTTGATGGACTTGAGGGAAAATTGGGGGCAAGCTTGTAGTTTTTGTAGCTGTGGTTTTTAACTTTGCTGTAACCTGAGTCCAGTGGACGCTTTTCAATTGTGATGTAGTGTTGGCTCGGTATACTACTTATACAGTTGCTGTTAATTTTCGCTCTTCGTGACAACTTTCTTGATATAACTTCCAGATGGATTTTGTTGCGTTGTATTTTTGGGTTATTTTTTATGCTTGAATCTAGACAAATATTTGTGAAGGAAGTTTTGTTGTTAAGGGGGCTACTTGTTTTATCTCTGGGTGGGTGATTAGGTGTTGGATAGTTTGGTATAAGTGGAAGATTCTGCGTCAAGTACTTAATTGCAATGTGGTTGATATCCTAAGATTGTTCACTGTTTGCTGTTTCCACAGCATAATCAACCGAAAAGAATGGAAAAAGAACTGTAGATAATTGTCACTAGTGTGAAACCTTATGCAAGTAAGCTATCATTAAAGTTTGTTTTGTTTTGTTCAGCTTTACAATGCTTCTCTTTAGTAGGCGTTTTGTTCCTTGTAGTATTTCATATTATGGATGTATGCTAGATGTTTTCTAACTGTTTGAAAGTTTCTGGATACTTGGAATATACATATTGCGAAACTATTTTGAGCTTTAGGGCTCGAAGAATGACTCCAGTACTTAGGATTGATCTTGATTTGGGTAAAAAGGGTCTGTTCTCAACTAGGAAGAAGTAGCTTATGGGGATCTGGAGGGGTTGTTTATCATTTTCCTTCTGTTGTTAGATAAAGGAGCAAGCTCTTGAAGTCATTTGGTTGCTTAAATTTAGTAGCTGAACTGTGTTTGATTTTGTGCCCATGTTTAAAGGAGCTCTTGCTATCCGAATCTGATTTGATTTCCCTATGGCTTAAACCAATTGTTCGAAATTATTCGATTAATTTAATTTTTAGGGTCAGTGATTAGGGTAAAAGAGGTTCTTCATTTGCCTTCTGTTGTTAGAGAAAGGAGGAAGCTCTTGAAGTCATTTGGTTGCTTAATTTTAGTAGCTGAACTGTGTTTGATTTTGTGTCCATGTTTAAAGGAACTCTTGCTATCCGAATCTGATAAGATTTTCCCTATGGCTTAAAACAATTGTTCAAAATTGTTCGATTAATTTAATTTTTAGGGTCTGTGATTAGGGTATAAGAGGTTCTTACTGTTGGGGCAACACAAGTTAGAGAACGATAATGAAATATGTGAAGTAGGTAAGGGAAGTTTTTATGAGAAACGATGGATATTGTCTAGGTGCTGGAACTGTATTTGTTTCTGTTGTTGGAAGCTTTTCTTGAAATTTGGTCATGGGGTTTTCAATGGAGATGGGTATGTATTTAATGTTCAAAAGTCGCCACTTAGCCTTGGACAACATCCAATGTTCCCAAAATTTGTTGTAAGAATGTAATGTTAAGTTGTGAACGAAATATCAAGATTATGTATGGACTTAATCAATGCTGAGGAATCACTGTCAACAATGATCTAGATGATCTGGTTATTAGATGTATTTGGTTGCTGCTTCCTTCTGTATTCTGGTACCTTGAATTAAGTGTGTTGGCCTCATACATCTATTTGAACTCTTTGTCGACACAGCTTTCATTACTCTGAGCCTGGGATACGAGATCTTTGTACACTTTATGAAGGTTGTAAATAAGACATGTACAATATCTAGATTGAGCCAATCAGCAACGGCAACAATAGTTCCTGAATCAAACCAGAAAACAGTATTTGGTTTCTTTCCTAAGATGAAGGTAGAAACTAAAACACATACTCTCCTGTTAATCACCTGATTCTAAGATCTTTATAACATAATTCTTTCGAAAGCCCAAAGACAAGGGTAACAGACACTGTTTAAACTCGCGCTGTTTAAAATCAGGCAAGACATTATCTAAATTGTGCCTCCAACGCTGGACAAGATCTCTGTGATTGAATCTGAGGATCAATAAGAAAAGAAAACCTCGCGCTGCTTTCACCTTTCGGTTTTCCTGAATTGTATTGTTTCTAAATCCTTGCCCTTTTCGCACTTTAATTTTGTTTGGCTGCTGACCTTGAGTTTACTGGCAATGGCATTGTCAAGTTTGATTATTCATCGATTGGCTTCCTTCTTTAAAGGGCATTGTCCTCTGTGACTATACCCCGAGTTAAAGCTTCTGACATGCCATATCCATCTCCGTCTCAATATGAATCTGCCGTTGCAGTTCAGATGACTGATTATCGCCTTCGCAAAATGAAAGAATGCCTATCTCATGAAGGAACAAGAGGATGTTTCTATTGATCATTGAAGCTGGAGGTTGTTCTGGTTTTCGGTATAAAGTTTCCCTTTTTAGGCAAATCTAAGTGCTGTGGGTGGCTGTATGTGTGGTGGTGTACAGTATTTGTGTTTCGCTTCTATATGTTCATTTCAGGTCATGGGTATTCTTACACAAATCATAAACCTTAAACTCCTTGGAATTTACTTAAATCTTGACAATTTTCATCTTCTTTTTACCGTTTGAAGAAGTAACCCAGGATGCTCGAAGTTGAACATACAGATTTCTCTCCAGGTTGAACAATTCAATGACTGAAAACACTAATTCAAAAAAAGAATAAAAATTATAAAATAAAAAAAAAAGACAGAAAACATACTATTTCCTTGCGTTTCTAGAATAATGGTAGTATTTCTTTCATGTACTCTGAGTTATGCCCCACTGTCCGAGAACCTGGTCCATATTCCTACAGATTGCGGGCGCTTTCTCAAGTTCAGAATTGCAATTAATTCTCCTTCTAAAGGATGTCGTGAATGATTAGAATGACCCGATGCAAAGCGGCAAACAAGGTTATTCACATGAAGACGAAGTAGTGATGACAACTGACAAATGATCACAGTGTGTCATGGTTGTTGATTCTGTGTGAATGAAAGATGGTTTCAAGGTAAAAAGGAAGTTTCTCATGGTGGACCTGTTGAAAGAATACCAGGAAGTTAAAAAGGAAGTTTCTCAATTGTATCCTCATTGGATAATGCCCAAGTTTGCTGTTCCTCTATGGAGATTAGATTTCGACCTTGGAAGGATTGATGGAATGGGAGTTCGTCTACAAATTACTCGCCACATTTTTGGTCTTTGATCTTGAATGTTTTGACACATTTGCACATAATTAATGGCTTCCCTAACCAAATGAACATATATTTTAAAAATTTTCACGGTATCTACTGTCAAGACGTTGAAAACAATAACTAAATATTCTTGCTCAATTGGAAACACCTCATGAGTCATGACTATCTTGTCCTTTATCTTGGTGTAATAGTTTACTAGATTCTGGCTGGTATTATAATTGACTATTATTATATTTTATATTAATTATAAATGTGATTGGTAATTAATAGCAAGCATTTGTGCATAAATAAACTATACTTTTCATACTCTTGTCAAAAAAAAATAAAAAAAAAATAAAAAAATAAAAGACCTATCGTACTTGCACACTAATTATGAAAGGACACGAATTTCTTTTCTTTTTTCTTTTAAAAATAATAGGTAGAAAGAGATTGAAGGAAAACAAAAAAGAATGTCATAAGAAAATGAAAAATAACATATGGGAAAAAAGATTTCACATAATCTGATATAATCTTGTTCTTTTGTTACCTAGGAATTCAGTTGGAGGCCAAATTTCTTCGTGGTTTTCCAGTTGATGGAACATGAATTTTCAAGGTCCAGAACCCCAATGTGCACTGTACTATTATTCATTATCTGCTCATAATATTTTAATTACACAATTAGTTGAAAAATCTAGAAATTAATAAAATTAGCATAATTTCGAATTTAAATTCATAAAGAATGTCACCGATACTACCACTTGATTTTTTTTTTTTTTAAAAAATCACCTATGACACAAACAGACATGCATTCAAAAGTACTTATGAATAAAGCCATAGATTTGTTGTTGCATTCAAGAAGAGTTTTTGGATCCCACATCCTACTAATGTAGACACTTTCAAGATAGAAGATTATTCAAACATGAGTCACTAATCAAGAGCACAAACCTTACTGATTTGGGTGTTAGTTTTGATAGCATTTTCGGTAAGTGGAATTGAGCGACGCCAAATGTGAGTTCAAAGGAATCTTCAATTCTGTGGATTCAAACTCAGACACAGGAGTCGTCCTCCTTTTGGGATCACTTACTTGAAGCAACCTGTTAGCCTTGGTGGCAATGGAATTAAAAGCTGTCTACCGCGCGCATGTGGTTTCCCAAATTGTTTATACATATTTACGCCTTTGAGAGACGTGGGAGGTGGCAGTTTTAGTTCCACGTTATGCATCCCTGCACAACGTTGATGATGAACGGTTGATGTTTTTATTTTTTATTATTTTTTTTATTTTTTTGATAAAACAGGGAGATGAACGGTTGATTTTATTTTCCCATTAGGTTATAATAATGTAAGTATTTTATTTATCATCATTTACTGGGATTTAGGCGGGAATTGAGTGAAGAATACTATGATACATAAACATTTGGGATTGGGATTGTAGTGGTTTTTTCCATAATAGAATAATAATAATAATAATATATAGATATAGATAGATTCAAACACTCAAATTATGTTGAAGAAGAAGGAAAAATTGGAAGAAACGGCTCTGTTTGGAAACATAAAAGGGTTTATTTTCTTTTTCTTTATTTTTTTAATTCACTTTTTACATTTTACAAAGCAAAATACACACAAAAAAAAAAAAGACATCCAAAAGACCCATCCTATAGATTTCCCATCCATTGTCCAATCGAAACATTGAAGGCAAAGGTGATACCGACGCAAACTGAAAGACAGAAAATTCAAATCTTTTCAATATATTATCGGCAACATTCATGAAGGAGCAGTTTAAGTATGTGCTGCTAAAAGAAATTGTACTAAAAATCTTGATTACTTGAATGGCCAGTGATTTTTTTTTTTCTTTTTCCTTTTAAAACACAACACAAATTTCAAATTTTCAATACAAAATACTAAATACTATCTAATTAATTTTTTAAACTTATCTATTAAAACTTATTTCAAATATTATTTTCACCTAATTTTTAAACTTCACCACCGGACCATAATGCCGTCCTAGACCATTACCCTTTACCGTGCGCCACCGGCCGGTCAGCTTCCAACCAATTTCCGGGCCGGAATCTGGTTGGACTCCTCAAAAACGGTTGAAGTTCCAAGCACCTAGTTGTTGTTAGTAGTTGTTGTTGTTGGATTCCTTACTGTCTTTGTTGCATAATTGTTGTTTAACTAATTTGTAATTTGTGTAATAGAGCAACTAGATGCTTAGTCCGGGCGGATGCCCGGACGATCTCTTAGATTTTATATTTGTAATAAAATGTATCAATATAAATATAATTCGCCGAGACGGCTGAGTTTCAAAGTTGATAAATGATAAAAACAAACAATCAAAAAAAAGAAAGAATAATACATTTTGTTATAACATATAAGGTACATACGACAATATAAATATATAACTTAAAACAATAAATGTTCGGAGGACCGCCTGTGTTTTAAATCCGTTAAATTAAAAAAAAATTATAATAATAATAAAATCGAAACATACTTTTTTTTTTAATGTGGTTGCATACTTTTTTAGATCATTACAATCTTGTGTACTTTTTTTTTTTTTTGAATTCTTAACCAAATCAACATGATTTTTTTTCCTAAAAACCATAAGTAAATGAATACCATGATTAGAAAATTTAATGGAAAGTGCTAGCGTGCTAAATATTCTTAAGTTTTGAATTTCAATCCTCAAAATTTTAACTAAATAAGGTGTGAACTTTTACCTCTGTACCAATCGCCACTGATAAATTATATAAAATCTCTTTAAATATGCAAAAATAAAAATGTCATACAAATAATTAAAGCAAAAACTCGATATGTAATTGAATAATAATACTATTCCATAAAAGAATAATATTATTCCATAACCAAAAAAAAGGTAGGAAAAAAGTCACATATTTTATTATGACTAAATATGATTATAAAAAATGATACAAATATAGGTCCATTTAGAGACCATCTTATAGGCCATTCAATAGCCATTTGTCTAGCTATAAGCTATGTCAAAAATCCAATCCCGTTGATGATGTATGTCATACCCGTATTCAAGTAATGTTTCGATACCAAAGAAACTCCGCTTTTGCACTTTCCTTTCGAGTCTATTTGAATAACCAAATCCATTAATTACAAAACTAAACAGACGAAGAAGAATTTTTTTGAAAAAGAAAAAAAAGAAGGAAGAAGGCAATACCTGAAATGTCTTTCTAAGCCCACTAATTATTTTCTTGGTAGTCCACTTTCAGTGCCAAAATCAGTACCAAGAATAAGCAAAAGTGAATGTGCAACAAACATAAGTTTTGACCGGGAAGAAGCAAGATGAAATACCATTCCACAAATCCCCTTACGCTCCTGCACCCTAGTAACAGAGAACCATCCAACAAAATCAACATGTTACCATTAACTATATCCCAGAGACCATAGAGGAAGTAAATGAAATGAATCAATAAAGTTCATCCAACCTCCCAAGGAAAAAGAAAAAATGGATTTCATAAATTTTATCAAACACAATCGCCAAACTCATATGTTCAGAAATATAAAACAACACCACTAAACTAAGCACAACCAAATTTCATAATTCTTGCATAAAAATATCACCACATGTTCACCCTCAAGCTCCCGCCACATTTGCAGAAGTGAGGATGCTTGGATGCTTGACTTACTTTGTTCATCCTTCATTTTATTCTATAACTAAATAGCTACTTGATGTGGTAATCTAGTTTTCTAAATACTGACAGCCTTAACAAATAGGATCAAATACTTTTTGGTACAGACCATAAAGAAAATGATATGTGCCCACAAACTTAACGCACATTTTAAGTTTAACGCACTTAATTAGTATTCTTCTTTCTCAACAAATGCTGCTTCCCAAACTTCTTCCTCATAACTTTTCCACTTCCAGATCCCCTAAAGTGCTCGGAGAAGGTTAAAATCCAATTAAAAAAGAATAAACTTACTTAATTGTGCAAATAGCCAGTTCAAAGAACCCAGCCGAACTAAAACAAAGAGAATAACTGCAACAAAGAAGATGGAAAATTAACCTTGTGGCTTTTCTCCCAGCAACAGGAATCCTCACATAGCAATAAAACTGTAATAATATTTTATTAAACTAAAAGATAAGGCATGAAAGGAATTGCAACAACTCATCAAGTTAATGCTGAGCATTTATCCAAATTTTTGCAACAACACTCCAGACTTATTATTTCTTTTATGACCTGCATGAATATTT